GTGAGACTCCAGTCAGGACACTGACAGGAACAACCCAGAGGAGGAAATCGATGAGGAAAATGTGATTTTAACACTTGCCCCAGTTAGTGAGGAGCCTGCCACATAACTTCCAATGAGATCAAACACTCAAATAACCAATTTTCCCTCTCTGGAAACTTGTGAGCTGATCAAACTCTCACAAAATCCAGATAGAAGAGACCATCCCTTCCCCTATGGCTGCCCTGTGCCTGTCAATGACTGGAGTGAGGGGCTGGAGTCAACAGTTCAATAGAGGTTTATTTAAGACTTCAGGGACATGCATTTCCTCAACAAAAATATGATGTTCTTAATGCATTATCTGTGGCATTGAAGCTGGGCTCCAGGAGGGGAGGGAGGCACCAACCTCAAGACAAGCAAAAGGTGGAAGAGAGGGCGCCTGAGAGCTGAGCTGTACGTTCAGCTCAGGAGTCCATGTTTGGAGCTTTGGAAGAATTGTGCAGGAGCTGTTCAGCCTGGGGCTGTGAATTGTCCTTCTCCCATTTGTGAGGAGGCCTTGCGCTACAAGCCTCTAGGGCCCGGGGGTTCACTATCCATGGTAGACTGCTTTCTGCAGATATGACAGGCTGAGTTCACTTGATGTTTCACATGGACCAGACCTGGGTCAAGGATACTTCTAGGCGATGATCTCTCTTTCCCTGTTACCAGCCTGGGCTCTCACATCCCCAGGAACAGAAGAGATAATATTCTAGGTCCTGAATGAGTTCAAAGGAATAAGAAGATCATGACAGAAAAAACTGTCACTGGAGTGAGAACCTGTGCCAGAGACACTATGGCACTCCCAAATAGGCCACCCAAGATGGCGACAAGGTTTTGTGTTGACCTGGAGAGGTTAGAAGAAGCAAAGAGAAACCTGTGTTCCTGATAATGGAAAAAAAAAAAAAACAAAAAAAAAAACAAAACAGGTCATCAATCGTCAGAAGTTCCTCCTCCAATATCTACCAGGACAAAAGATGGAGTGTCCACAGACAAATCAGCCTGCATCTAACATTGTTTGGGGTCTTAACCATCCTCAACATCTCCTGATACCTTGAGTTGGACTTTTAAAATATTTAGTTACCTGGGATATGGTTTTGTTTTATTTTTTCTGCATTTAGGGGCAGTTTCAGAACAGTAAAGCAGAAAGAGTTCCCACATACTTCCTGTAAGTGTCTCCCACTAAACTTTTATTGTATATTTAAGAAGGAGGAGACTTCCTTCTGCCCTGTGGGCAGATAGGTGCTGCTCTACCTTCTCAGGAATTCATAGTCCTGTCGGGGGAGTGAGTTCCTCTTTGGGATTTCCATTCCAATTTCTAACCTGACTCAACTCCTTCTCTTTCTCCATAGATATCAAACTGCTGGACACTCACAGGTGGCAGCTGCATCCACACCAGGGGTCTGCTTACCTGGTTTCTGTGCTGGCTGATCCCTTGTCTGGGTCCCTCCTCCTTATGGGCTCATGAAGATGCTGTGTGCTTTCTGCATCCCAGAGATGCACTTGGACATGATTTTGAATTTGAAATGGTCAGATGTAGAAAGAATGTCAGCACTTCCTGAGTCTCTGCTTCACAGTGCCCTAAAGACATCTGCTGCAGGATCCATGGAAGAGCCTCCACGGCTTCAGTGGAGAGATGGGTACTCCATGGAGCATTTGGCTCAGTGCTGGGGTGAAGTCTCCTTCGTCTACACATCCTGCACACTCAGCTTGCAGAAATCTGAGCACATTTAAGAACGGCTGCTCATTGGCCTTTTGTTCTCTGTAGAATACTGATCAGCAGTGTCATTGCCTATAAAAACATAAAGTAGCCAAGCCCCACATATTTATGTGACACATGGTTGTTGGGAACTCTCTGTGCCCGGCACAGAGTGATGTGTCAGTGAAAGGGGAGTCTTTGCTCTCAGGGGGACCATACACTGTGAACCTAAGCTACAGAAAGGTGTGCAAGCATGATGAGCCTCATTATTTTGTTAATGTCAAATATAGACACGATATAATTGCTTGTGGTAAGAGAAGGACTCACTGAGATGCAGTGCAGCTCATTCTGTAGGCCAGACAGCAGGAACTCTATGTGGAAACTCTCAATGGGACTATTACTCATAGTGCAGTAAATACAGTGACATAGGAGTGTGTAGTGTCCTGCCTATCTTTTGTTCAAATACACCCTACAAACACAATACCCAGATGCCCCCGACTCATAACAATTGGGCCTACAACGTCATGATTTTGTGACATTGTGAACATATCCACACACCATTCTCTTCTTGACATGGTTCTATATTCAGGAATTGACATGGGCAATCAGCATGTCAGTATGAAGTGGCCTGTGGATTAGGCAATTTTGCCCAAATCCAGGAGCAATTGTGTATAAGTCAGCATTCTCACTGTTTGTGCACAGAAGGTCAATAACGAAACAAGTGTATTAAAAGCCCATAAGAAGCAAAGAGAATGACCTAGAATGTACGTTCGCGGCACCATTAAATGTCAGCAGACAGACGCATAAGACGAGAAATGTGTGACTGGGACAAGGCAACAAATGGCAGTGTAAGTCCAGCTCAGGGTCTGCTCAAGAGGATGGGAGGAAACATTTCAAACAGCAGATGACGAAATCAGTTTGGTAATCAGAAGACCTTCATCCTCAGAACCTTTAGAAGTCGCTTTAAAAAGGAAAAGAAAATGATCACAGATAAGATAAGGTACAAGGAATTTAGGAGAACTGAGAAATCAATTACCCTGACTCACGTAGATGCCAACTGACAAGAGAGGAACACTCTGGACAGAAGCTAAGGAGCAGCAGGCTGCCACTAGCTCGGGCGACTTCAGCTGCGCAGCTGTGCTCCTCTCCTTGGACAAACAGGGATCGGCCCATCTGCCCTGAGAAACCTCTTTGACCCTCTGTGTCTGGCCACAACACCAGACAGAGTGTTAGCCCTCTAAGTCATAACTCTGAGCACCATGCATACCCAGGCTGGTGAGTGAGAACTTAGCAGAGATGCTCAGTGGTGTACACTGCCCAAGAGATGTTCAGCTCCAGCTCTAGGAGCAGCTGTGTAGCCTGACCCTGGGGTTCAACCTCTCTGGTCCTCATCGTTCCCATAAAACTGCAGAGTGACGCTGCAAAGATCTTGGCAGTAGTTAGGAAACACAATCACAACAATGGATAACAGATTGTTACACAGTTACACAAGGGAGATGTGGTGAGACTCTACCATAACACAGTTTTTTCTTTCATTTATTTATTTATATATACAAAGTCTCTTGCTGTGCAAGTCAGCCTCATGTGGCTCCTAATTTGCTGTGAAGCCAAAGATGACCTTGACCTTCTGGTCTTCCTGCTTCCACCTCCCAAGTGCTGGGGTGACAGATGGGCACTGCAATCCTCTGTTGACACAGAGCTGAGGACAGGACCCGGTGAGTCACGCAATACAAAGCCAACAATCTCCCATCTGAACCGCATCCTCAGGCATTCATTTGGTGGTTTTATTTTGTTGACACCAAGTCTTGTGTTCCCATTTTATTGACAGGCAAGAGGAAGCCCAGAGAAATTAGGGCCTGAGCCTGAGGACATGAAAGTGAATGGCAGCATGAGGTGGCCCTGCCCAGGTTGGGTCTACCATGTCAGTGGGTCATGGGATGTGAGCAGTGGCAGCGTGGAAATCCATCCTTTGGTGAATGCTTGAGGGACAGACACTGTAATAAAGTAAAATATGTGGGGCCTCTGGAGCCTATGGAATACCAGCTCCCTGACCCAGTCTCCAGACATCTGTGGCATCAGCATCGGGGATGGACAGCTCAGAGGCAGTGGGTCCCCAGCACATGCACACTTTGACAAGAAAGCCAGTGAATGCCTGGATTCTGCAAAGAGTGTGGCTGAGGAAACCCCAAACACAGTTGCTCTGTACAAGCAGCCAACAAACCTGAGGAGCTTAGAGACCGCATGGGACATCCCCATGTGAAAAATCCCCATTTCAGGAGCCACAAGGATCCTCATGCAGCTCCAGTCACTGTCTCGTGTGCCCTGTTCTCTGCTGATGATATCCCCTCTGTTGGAGTCCTGTGGTTTCATCAAGAAACTATAGCCTACCAAACTTCAGCTCCAAGCCCCACTCTCCAGCAGGGCTCTGCTCTTTTCTAGGACCCTCGTGACCTGCACCAAGTAGATTCAGAGCTCATCCACCAGCTCCACCCTTCATGACCGACCACATGTCCAGGAGCAGCCCTTCTGCCTCCATTCACAGGAATTGATCTTTGGCCCCTTGTGAGGTGATCAGTGGGAGGTCACCTGAGTTCAGTCCTCTGTCATTCCCAGTGTACTGATCTGGTCCTCACAGCAACAGCCCTGTGCAATAAGGTGATAGCAGCACCATGTGATCAGGTCTAGATTAGGCACAATCCATGGAAAACACCATCATAAATGTACCAGGAATGGAACAAGGGTGTGAAGTGAATGACAAACATAAACTCACTCTCTGCTCTAAACATAGGTCTGGAATGTGAGGGAGAATCCAGCCAATGGGGTTACCCACCCAAACTGCTTGGAGCATAGAAGTTATTTCTGGGTTCATTCTCCACATCTGGGCATGGTGTTGACCAGGCTTTCAGATATGAGGAGAGGGGCAGACAAACACTGGAAGGAGGCAGCTTCTCTTTGATGAAGGATGTACAATCAGTCACTAGAGCTGACTGATGGGGTCCTGGAGTTGGACCACAGGCAGAGAAGTGAGGAAACACGTAGGTAGAATTTCTGTGTCCCAGCAGCCGCTCTCAAATAACCACATAGAGACTTAATATTAATTATAAATACCAGGCCAATAGCTTAGGCTTGTCTCTAGTCAGCTCTTACAATGTAAATTAACCTGTTTCTCTTAATCTAGTGGTTCTTTCAGGCTCATTTACCTCATCTATGAACTTCCCATGTTGCTTTTACTGAGTATGACTAAAGACTCCTCAGACTCCATCCTTCTTCCCAGCATTCTCTGTGCCCTGAAAATGCTGCCTAGTTATGGGCCAATCAGCTTTTTATTAACAATGAGAGTAACACATTTTCACAATGTACAGAAGGATTATTTCACAGAAGAAATACTTCAGGCTTCACCCACAGCTGAACAAAGCCTGTGCTCACCCTCCTAATTCTGGCTGTTCTTTGCTCCAGAATAGACTTGAGTTCACAGAAGCTCCTGAAGTCCCAATGATCTTGGTGTCATCCCCAGATAGAATCCAGAGGGTCCATCCCATGGGCAAAGGTACCCTGGGCCTTTGGCTACACAGCTGGCATCGCATGCAACAACTGTGCTGATGCCAGGGCTGACCTACATCTTGTTCTAAGGAAATCTGCCCCACATCTGCCCTTCCCCCACAGCCAGACTGGAGGCCTCTCCACAGGGTTTCCATTTGCCAAGGGTCTTTGAACTCAGGTTAAAGCAGCACATTTCACTCCTGGGCGGAGAATCAGCAGGCAATGGCACACTGGAGCTCAGTTCTTCTTAAGTGGTGATGCTAAGGTTCAGGTTCTCTGAAGTAGTTAGAGAGAGGAAGCCATGGGATGTGTAAAAAGAAAACCCAAACACTTCATTGGGCCTCCTGAAGGGCCAACCACAGCCCCCAGGAACAGGTCCACAGCCATGATGGCTTCCTTGCACCAGCACTTGGAGGCCAGCAGATGGCCCCCTTGCAGTCAGAGCTCTGCATGCAGCACCCTGGACAGTGGCGAGGGTCTCCTTCAGCCTAAGGCCTCTCTGCCTGTGGTCCAGCTCCAAGACCCCATCAGTCCTAGTGATTTTGTACATCAGCGACATTCTCTCTTGGAATCCTGCTGACCGGAGTTGAAGAAGTACCACGCCTAAGGCTATGAGACATTCCAGTCACATGATGGCACCTGGGCCCTAAACTCCTAACTCTGCAGCTTGTGAGCCTGTATGGGAGCTCTGCTTTTATCCCCTGAGATAGAGAAAGCAGATGCTGAGGGTCAACAGTGCCCAGCTGGCATGGAGGCTCGTGGTACTGTTGCAGAGGTCTGTGTTGCAGCAGAAGTCCCTGGAGTGATTCATGCTCTGATGGACATCAGGACAGGTAAATGAGCATGTTTTTGTCACACTCGTTTGCTGGCCTGGGGGTGCTGGAAACAGAGGACAGAGGACCATTTACTAAGACCTATAAGACCCAAGCCTGGCCCTATCAGCAAACACAGACCACCTACAACCTCCAGTTCAAAGGGACACACAGCATGAGGTCAGGAGGGTCAAACTCAGGTTGTGACCAGGAACAGGGCTCAGAATGTGATCAGGTTCAAGGCTCAGTATGTGGCCAAGATTAAGGATTAGTATGTAACCCAGGGTGAGGGTTTAGTGTGATGAAGACCAAGGCTTGGAGAGTGACCAGGATTAAGACTCAGGGTGGACAGAATCAGGGCTCAATGTGGGACCCAGTGTTAGAGCTCAGGAATTGCAACCCCCTCTCCTACTTTCCCTCCCCCTTTCCATTCTGAGCAGCCAGAACTCTCAGGAATGCTTAGAATTGTCACCTCCCATGGCTGTGCTACACACAGTGGCTCACTTGGAACATCCCACCCACGCTAAGACAGTACTGCGGGTTCCAGAGCACTCAAAACAGAGCACTGAAAACCCCTGAACAATTGAGGGGGATCTCAGGGTCATTTCTGCCCAGCAACCCCAATTCCACCAGCAAGCTTTGCCTCACCCTGGCATCCCCAGGTGCAGGATGCAGGATCCAACCCCTTCCCCTAAACATCCACCTGGAACCAAGATACTTACAGTACCAGGAAGTCAAGCAGTAGCGGGTCATGGCGCTGCAAGATGTAGGCTGATAGCAGTTCTCTGTGGCACTACACTCGTGACACTTCAGGGCCTGCGCTGGAGGGACACAGCAGGGTCAGAGACAGAGACACTCCATAACCACACCAGCCAGCATGGGATCCACGGACAGTTGTGTGCAAAGCACTGACCATCTAGCAACCCATTCTGTTCTTCAACCACACACGTGGACAGCCTCTCAGCAGCCACACTGGGGTACTGGGCATAGGGCCCTGTCTATGGTCCAGGAAACCACAGCTCTGAGCAGCCAGCGGTCCATGCTGCTGGTCATATGCCATAGGAGAAAGTCACCAGCCAAATGGTGCTAATTCCACCAGACCTTTGCAAGAGTGACAGCGAGCCCAACAGTACACCCAGACTTAACAGTTGAGTAGGGAGAACCAGTGAGGTGGCTCAGCAGGAAGAGGGGCTTGCTGCCAAGCCTGAAGACCCGAGTTCAAGTTCAATCCCAAAATTCACAGGGAGGAAGAGAATCAATTCCATCAAGTTGTCCTCTGACCCCGACATGCACACTTGCTCACGATCATATGTAGACAGACAGACAGACAGACAGGCAGACACACAGAGAGAGAGAGAGAGAGAGAGAGAGAGAGAGAGAGAGAGAGAGAGAGACGGAGGGAGAGAGAGACAGAGGGGGGAGGGAGAGAGAGAATATATTAATGTAATAAAGAATGTAAGGCAAGGGAAGGTGCCACAAAAGGGTGCCATGGCTAGACTGTGACCCACTCCCAGCTCAGGCAGCCTGGGTGTGAGGCCTCCAGCAAGGCCTGTCTCCTATGCCAGTACCTCCTCTGGACAGCAGGACCACCACATCATCTGGGGGCTTGTCTAGCCAGATCAGGATGTCAGCCAGAGTCCTCAGGGGCTCTGGTGACCTAGGACAGGGGTACCCACTTTCTGGCTCACCTGAGGAGCTCAGCAGAATCAGGAGCAACAGCCGAAGCAGGTGAGTCCTCATCTTGGGCAATGGGGACAAGCAGAGCTTGTGTCTGTATCGACTGTCACTGGACAAGCCTATCTTTATAGTCTCTTCTGGTGTGGTGGGTGGGGCCTCGGTCCATCTGTCACCCCTGACTACCTACATGTGTCACCTCTGGGGGTGTGGTTGGAAGGTAAATACCTCCAAGATTGCCTTCTCCAGCACTCCTAACCCTCTGCCCAATGCCCATCTTCCCCCTGCCCCCCCGCTCCCTGCAAAACCCCCACCCCAATCCCAGTCAACTGTGTTGTTCTGACTCCATCCAGGCCATCACTCAGGAACCATTGTCTGTCCCTTTTCCTCTTAGGAAATGTTCCAGGCACGGTTGAAATACTGGGAAAGTGTCTTCTCATGGTGCAGCGGAAGGAGTCCCAGATCACAGAGCCCATAGGCAGCATCCTCTCAAAGTTCCACTCCTTGGTGTATAGAAGACATTCCTGCCTCATGTCCTCACATGTCACCTCTTTGTGTGTGCCTTTGTCCTGACCTCTTCTGGTAAGGATACATGTCAGATTGGATTGGGTCACCTAAGTAATGGCCCTGTCCCTTAATAGTCTCTTAGAGGGCAGTCTCATAAGAGTCCCAACCCAAGGGACTGGGCTCTAGGGGCCTCAACATACGAATTTGAGGGAGAATTCAGCTTATGTGCTGGCTAGTTTTATGTCAACTTGAGACAAGCTAGAGTCATCTGAGAGAAGAGAGCCTCAGAAGAGAAAATGCTTCCATAAACTGGGGCTATAGGCAAGCCTGTAGGGCATTTTCTTAGTGATTGATGGGGGAGTGCCTAGCACATTGTGAGTGGGACTACCCCTGGGCTGGTGGTCCTGGGTTATACAAGAAAGCAGGCTGAACAAGCCATGAGGAGCAAGCCAGTAAGCAGCACTCCTCCAGCACCCCTCCATGGTCTCTGGATCAGTTCATACTTCCAGCCTCCTGTCCTGTTTGTGTTCCTTTCCTGACTTCCTTTGAAGATGAACCATGGTACAGAAGTGTAACCAAAATAAACCTTTTCCTCCCCAATTTTCAACATGAGCCAGATCTTATGCACGATTAGAAAGTGGGAAGAGACAGAAGGGTATGAAACTGACTTCCTCCAAGCCCCTCCAGACTCTCAGCTCTTCCAGTAAGTACTGGAAAAGTTCCCTCGATGGCCTTCAAGGTGACAGAAGAGGTATCCATAGTGACATTCACGCTATAAGTAGAAAAAAAGGAGACACAATGGAGAACAGTGGGCTGGGAATGCTGGGAGGGGGCAGTGGGCAAGGGATGCTGGGGGCCAGTGAACTGGATATGCTGGGCATCAGTAGGCTGGGATATTAGAAGCTGCAGGCTGGAAATGCTGGAGACAGGGGTCTGGAAAGAGGTTAGTGTCCATTTTCTCTTCAGAGGCTGAGCAGGACTCATCTCTATAAAGATTCCATGATGCCAAGTGTAAAATTTGGACTTCCTTCCCATCTTCCAGGATATCTAGATGTAAATTTCTGTTCCCATTTTATGGCAATGAAATGGGAAGCCCAAAGAGAAGAGGGACCAGCCAGGTTTCACTGTGAGTTAGGGCTCCCCATGCCGCGGAAGCTGCATCTGCCCATTGCTTAGAATTTCCCCCTGACAGACTCCAGGACCCAGGACAAGGAAAGTATCCTGCTGTGCCACAGGCTTGTGTCTGGCTCCCCTCCTGGGGTCTCAGCCATATTCAGACAGGCTAGTGAACATACCCATCTCAAACCCCAGTGACAGGATCACATCCCACCCAGACCTTGGCTAGCAGCCAGGCACAGTGACCTTCTATACCTGGGACAACTGTGCAGTGAGAGCCGTTTACACGAGATAGTCCCCCCCAGGGAAATGGCCAACTTCATAGCAGTTCCCAGACACACTGTCTTAGGCTGAAGGCTGTGTGACCTCAGCCACTCTGCTGTCGTGATTACCTCCTCTGGACTAACGACGCTCAGGAGTCAGCCTGGTGAGGCACACATTCCGATAAGGGACTTGGGCAACACCTTGTCCAGTCATAGCTGCCTGTGTGTTGTCTTGGTACTCTAGACAACCTACACAGAACAGTAGAAAGTCAGAAGGTCTGCAGCCTGCCCGGAGCTGTCCATATTCCAGGCCTAAGAAGTATATGTCCACTGTCTCTCCCAAAGTGATTACTAGGTGGTAATAAACTAAAGATTTAGGGAGGGGAGACGGCACTAGGAGTCCTAAATATCACAATGGAACTTTCATAGGGGTGAGGCAGAGGGTAGGGGAGACGGCTCAGTCAGCAGAATGTTTGGAGGCGTTTTTGTTTTGGTCTCTTACAGTCCAGGCTGGACTTGAACTATTGATTTCCCTCCCTCCTCCTCCAAAGAGCTGAAAGCACAAACGTGTACTGCCACACTCAGTGTAGCGAGTTTTTTTTTTTTTTTTCGAGACAGGGTTTCTCTGTGTAGCTTTGCGCCTTTCCTGGAACTCACTTGGTAGCCCAGGTTGGCCTCGAACTCACAGCGATCCGCCTGGCTCTGCCTCCCGAGTGCTGGGATTAAAGGCGTGCGCCACCACCGCCCGGCTGCGAGTTGGTTTTTTTTTTTTTTTTTTGGTTTTTCGAGACAGGGTTTCTCTGTGTAGCTTTGCGCCTTTCCTGGAACTCACTTGGTAGTCCAGGCTGGCCTCGAACTCACAGAGATCTGCCTGGCTCTGCCTCCCGAGTGCTGGGATTAAAGGCGTGCGCCACCACCGCCCGGCGCGAGTTGGTTTTTAATAAACTTTATTATGGTTGTAACACACACATATCTACCTTACCTTTGCAGCTACTTAAACAGTTGAGTGGCAATGAGCACATCAATGTTGATCCACCATTACCATCCATTCTCTCCGCAATGTCTTCATCTCTCCAGATTGAAATTGTCCCCATTAAACACTGAACCTCACCATCCTTTCCAGACCCTGGCACCCACCATCTCACTTCCTGTCTCTGTGGATTTGACTCCTCCAGGCCCTCTCAAGGGCTTCAAGTTCCCAAGCCAACCTTGAACTCACTATGTAGCTGAGAGTGTGGTCTCGAATGTCGGATCCTCCTGACTCTACCTCCCCAGTGTTGGGATTATAGGAAGACATCATCATGGCCATTTTATGCAGAACTGGTTGTCAAACACATGGTGGGCTTGAACTCTACCAACTGAGTCACATGCCCAGTTCAGCTTTTGTCTTTTTGCAACCTGACTTGTTTTATTTGACAGAATTCCCTCCTGACCCATCATGCAGCAGCTCATGTGTTCACATCTCTCCTGATGGTGTGTTACCAGGGCTCAGGTATTTATCATTGATACATCTTCTTGCTGTACTGTGCCTTCAGTGTACACCATATTTGTTAGAGTCAATTCTTCTCATTTGTTTCTGCCAAAGTTAACATTTGGCTCCCTGCTGCCTAAAATTTTCTGCATTCTTTCTTTTTCTGCCCATTCGCTTTTAGCCTGTTTATGTCTCTGTCTCTGAAGAGAATTTGGGAGCAGGGGAGTGTGGCTTAGTAGTAAAGACTTGTCTAACATGCATAAGGCCCAGGATTTGACACCAGCACAGATAGATAGATAGATAGATAGATAGATAGATAGATAGATAGATAGATAGATAGTAGACAGACAGACAGATGATTAGAATAGATGATACATCAGTGGTTCTTAACCTTCCAAATGCTGTGACCCTAGACACAGTTCCTCATGTTGTGGTGACTCCAACAATAAAATTATTTTCCTTGCTACTTCATAACTGTAAATTTGCTACTGTTATAAATCATAATGTAAATATTTTTGATGATAGTGTTGCCAAAGAAGTCATGACCCACAGGTTGAGAACCTCTGTGAGAGATAGATATAGACGGACAGATAGATGAGTCTCTCATGGACAGTGAATGGTTGGATCATTTTTCAAAGCAAATTCTAATCACCTCCAACTCTTTTTTGCATGTGCGTGTGGTATATACCTAGTGCTGCTGGTGGTGGTGGTGATAGGAGTGGTGGTGATGAATGTGGTGGTGATAGGAGATGTGGTGCTGATGGTGGCGGTTGTCATGGTGATGATACTGGGGGTGACAGGGATGATATCATTGGGGGTGTGGTAAAGATGGAGACAGTAGTGTTGGCTTTTTGACTAACAGTGGCAAAGGTCTGGAGGAGTCTATCACCAGCTTTTCCTAGCTTGAGTCAATATCAAGTGTTAGTTAAAGTCTCATCCTTCAGGATCCTAAACACTTGGACTTTAGCCCCAGCACTTATTCAAGCATGATGATGGCCATGTTAGTCATGTTGTGTGCCTCACTTAGCGACCGAATCAATGTGATGGGGACAATCAGCCGGAAATTAACTGTCATGGTGAGCCTAGTCCAGGAATGGTGTGAGCGTCTTACCAAGAATGCCATGTCTTCAATGACTCTACTCTGTGTATCAAGAGTTGTCTGGGTGTGGTGCTAGCACCTGATATCTCTTTCCCTAAGAGACTGAGGTGGGAGAATTGCATTGAATTCAAGGGCTAGCCTTGGCTACAAAATGAGACCCTACCACAAATGAAGGACTCAGACTTTCATTATTTCTGGCTTTGACCCATTCCGTTGATGTTGCTATGATCCACCCATCTGCCTCCTTTGTTGCTTTCTTCTGCCTCAGTGGGGCGGGGTGGCATTTCCAACAATCCAATCCCCTGTTTTCTCTTGTACAGCTTCTACCGACAATGTCACCGTAGTTTAACTGGTCTCCAGATTCCACCCACTTACCATTGCACCTGCGTAGTAGTGCTGATGGTGATGGGTGCTGCTGCTGGGGGTGGTGAAGGGGATGATGGTAAGGGAGTGATTTGGGGAGGGTGATGGTGATAGCAGTGGTAGTGATGGTGGTGGTGGTGATTGGGGTGGTGGTGATTGGGGTGGTGGTGATGATGATGATGTTGTGTGGAGGTGATAGTGATGGGGCTGGTGATGACGGTGATGGTAGTGGTGGTGGGTATGCTGG